GGAAAACTTGGAACATACACTCTGTTGGTGAGGTTATAGGGGCCCTGGTAGTGCACTGGTTAAGCATTCGGCTGCTAACCAAAAGATCTGCCATTAGAATCCACCAGTCGCTCCTTGGAAACTCTATGGGGCAGTTCTGCTCTGTCCCATAGGGTTGCTATGAGTGGGAATCGACTCGATGGCAAATGGGTTTGGTTTGTTTCGTTTTGGTTTTTGGTGAGGTTGTGGGGAAACAGGAATTCTTATGCCTTTGGGAATGCAAAATGGTACAACGTCAGACACAGGAATTTAGCTTTCTTTAAAAAAATTATGAATGCATTTATTCTGAAGATACACCTCTAACAATATGGAAATACATATGCACAAGGTTATTCATTGCAGCATTATTTGTAGCTGCAAAATATTGGAAACTGCCTAAATATCCAAGCACAGCTGGTTGAAAACAACTATGGTACGTCCACATGATAGGGAGACCACTGAAACAATATAGGCAACTTGGGAAAAGAGCATGGCTTCTGCGACTGAGAATCAGTCCCAGTTCAGCAGCTGGATTCAACAGAAGACTGGACTGGATTCTAGATAGTTTGGAAAAAACTTCTCTTTTGCTTCCTTTTGAGTGAGGTTTTTTTTTGTTCTGTTTTTTAAATTTTGCCTTGGCTTCTTAGTAAAGAATCTTAAGGTGTAATTCTTTTGTGCCCAGCTAAAGTAAAGAAATACCATGATTTGTTGAAAGAAAGGAAGATAAGAGGGGAGAACATCTGGGAGCAGAAGAGTGTGGGACCGTTTGTGGATTCAGGTGTCACCTTGTTTGTTCTGGGAGAGGCCATTACAAGGGATATATGTCTTTTATTATGCAGAGGTGGCAAAAATAATTGTCCTTACCTTGTCATTCCCCTGTATCTTTTCTCAGTTTCAATATCTATTTCCCAACCACCCTCCTACCCAAGATGTTCCGTTGTCCCACCAAACTCGCTTTTATTTATAAAGGGAGATCCATTCCTCTACTACTTGTTTAGACCATATCATAGTCAATATAACCTCAATTCACAGAGAAAACACTCACTGAAACCATATCTTAACACTGGATCCTTACTCAATATATACTATATTCTTCCATTTCATTTTTTTTTTGGGGGGGAGAGGTTAATTTTTTTGAAATTTTTTTTTTATTGTTGTAGTTTAGATGAAGTTTACATTTCAAGGTAGTCTCCCATACAAAAATTTATACATACATTGTTATGTG